AACAATTGACGATTGCTTTTGCTGCGAATCCTTGGGGCTTCTGTCGTGAGTCTTTTGCGGTGATCGCCTGACGAACAATTGACGATTGCTTTTTCTGCGGATCCTTGCGGCTTCTGTCGTGAGTCTTTTCCGGTGATCGCCTGACGAAATATTGACGGTTCCTTTTGCTGCGAATCCTTGTGGCTTCTGTCGTGAGCCTTTTGCAGTGATCGCCTGACGAACAATTCACGATTGCTTTTGCTGCGGATCGTTGCGGCTTCTGTCGTGAGTCTTTTACGGTGATCGCCTGACGAACCATTGACGGTTGCTTCTGCTGCGAATCCTCGGCTTCCGTCGTGAGCCTTTTGCTGTGATCGCCTCACTATAACGAACAATTGACGACTGCTTTTGCTGCGAATCCTTGCGGCTTCGGTCGTGAGTCTTTTGCGGTGATCGCCTCACTGTAACGAACAATTGACGACTGCTTTCGCTGCGAATCCTTGCGGCTTCTGTCGTGAATCTTTTGCGGTGATCGTCTCACGAACAATTGACGATTGCTTTTGCTGCGGATCCTTGAGGCTTCTCTCGTGAGTATTTTGCGGTGATCGCCTCACTGTAACGAACAATTGACGACTGCTTTTGCTGCGAATCCTTGCGGCTTCTGTCGTGAGTCTTTTGCGGTGACCGCCTCACTGTAACGAACAATTGACGACTACTTTTGCTGCGAATCTTTGCGGCTTCTGTCGTGAGCCTTTTGCTGTTATCGCCTTACTGTAACTAACAATTGACGACTGCTTTTGCTGCGAATCCATGCGGCTTCTGTCGCGAGTATTTTCGGGCGATCGCCTGACGAACAATTGACGATTGCTTTTGCTGCGAATCCTTGCAGCTTCTGTCGTGTGTCTTTTGCGGTGATCGCCTGACGAACAATTGACGATTGCTTTTGCTTCGAATCCTTGCAGCTTCTGTCGTGTGTCTTTTGCGGTGATCGCCTGACGAACAATTGACGATTGCTTTTCCTATGGATCCTTGCGGCTTCTGTCCTGAGTCTTTTCCGGTGATCGCCTGACGAAATATTGACGGTTGCTTTTGCTGCGAATCCTTCTGGCTTCTATCGTGAGTCTTTTGCGGTGATCGCCTCACGGTAACGAACAATTGACGACTGCTTTTGCTGCGAATCCCTACGGCTTCTGTCGTGAGCCTTTTGCGGTGATCACCTTACGAACAATTGCCGATTGCTTTTGCTGCGGATCCTTCCGGCTTCTCTCGTGAGTCTTTTGCGGTGATCGCGTGACGAAATATTGACCGTTGCTTTTGGTGCGAATCCTTGCGGCTTCTGACGTGAGCCTTTTGCTGTGATCGCCTCACTGAAACGAACAATTGACGACTGCTTTTTCTGCGAATCTTTGCGGCTTCTGTCGTGAGTCCTTTGCGGTAATCGCCTGACGAACAATTGAGGATTGCTTTTTATGCGGATCCTTGCGGCTTCTGTCGTGAGTCTTTTGCGGTGATCGCCTC